CTTGTTCCTCTATCATCATACGTATAGCTTATTTACTTATATATGTTTGCTCCCAAATCCTATAATTAATATCCTTCTTCTGTTACTTTTTGTTTTGTTTTATACATGGATCTCTATGTACTTGCGCAAGCCTCATGTGTTTCAGTCCTAGCTACTTGCAACTTCTGTGTTGTGTTATTACAACCTATAATAATACATCAAGGTTGTACAGTTTCCAGCCGGGAATCTTTTATAATCAAGCCTTCGAGTAAAGTTTTCTAATTCCCTTTAACCATCAATCGTCAACTATATATGATCATGTATGCCACTCTTTTACAAGATTAGAGGGTGATGCAGATAGAGACTTGATGGACTTATTTCTACATTGAAGAGTTAGTACCTAATGTTGGACTCCAAAGGAACGATCTAGGTTTTTTCTACTTATCACTATTGGAGCTGATTTCGTAATCATCCAACAAAAAATTGCAGATCACGCAGATACTGGACCAAGGATTACGACTGAAATTTGCATATACGATTTCATCTTGATATTTTTGGTAATTAGATAGTACAACAATTGTAGTCTAGATTTCCAAAGATTCTCTAGACTCTCCATATATATGTATGTTTGTAAATATTTCCTCTTAGAACCTTCCTTTACTTTGATTCTTCAACGTATTAGAGTCCAAATTGTTGCCATGGCTTGTGAGGGGCTCGAATAGGATTTACTGTCGATACTAGAGTGGGTTCGGTTCAACGTAAGAGCCATCATTTCAAAAAAGGTGTCAGAAATCTCACATCAAAATTTATATGACACTTAAATAATATGTAAAAAATTGTGTTATTTTGCTCATTATTCATTAGCAATTGATTTTGAATTAAAAGCTCGTAATTTCACATAGTATCAAATGTAGGTCGATCATCTTTTTCGAACCACTGCTTTAAGTCGTTGGAGTTCTTCCACACTTTGCTAGAAATTTAAGAAAACATAAAACTTGCTAAAGTTTGTGTTTGGCACACTTTTTTTAGAGCTGTTTGTTCCATCTACAAAAGAAAAAAAGTTGTTTCCCACCACTTTTATAATAATAATAATAGTATTCGCAACTATTTTTGTATATAATCAGAGATATTGATTACTGATTTTATATCTAAAAAATGGTTGTTGACAATTTTTGGTTTCATTCTCATTCCTCATAAATGAAAATATCTTTAAAAGACCGGACTTGCTCATGTAAATCCGATCAATCGTACAAAATTCCAACACGAGGGTCAAAAAGTGGTGGACAAGAGATTGTTGGTCAGGTCAAATGGAACTTGTCATTGAAGCAGATCGCAAAAACAAAGAGACCTTCTTGACCCTTCAGCCCTAAGTACCCCCCACTAACTGGATTATTAATATTAATCATATATAATCAGAGGAAAAACAACCTATATTAGGTCTCCTTTTAGGTTAAAGGGCTTTTCTATTGACTGAATTATAAAGCTTCTTTAGAACCTCTCTTTTCCATGATGAGCCAAGAATATAATTCTCCTTTAGTTTGTAACTTTGTATGGTCCTTC